AGCTCTGAATCTTAGTTACAAAATCTGTGTTGTATTTTAGAACAAAATTGAAAAGTTTTCTAAGTCAACTTTTTTAGAAATTTTTTGATTACCCTCTGATTGCACAGGTATCTGCCTAGCTAAAACACTCTTATTAAAAATTGTGTTCAAATTTTTCTCAGTTACAGCTTCTAGACAATGGCCAATATGCACTCTTTTCTCAAAACTTTACATGGTAACTTTAATAATTCATAGATATGTAAATCCTTTACGAAGTATATTTTGCGTTTTTGTCTCAGTTCCTCGACGCTTTCGTTTCTTCTCTTAAAACAAATAATTTTTAAAAGCCGTTAAATTTTAGGTTCAATTGATTTTAATTTCGTTTTGCCTGTTGACGCATAAGCCAAAACCCCGTACTATAAAATGGGTTTCACATAAGCGTTATATGCTTTCAGTAGTCGATCTTTACCTAAAACTTTCCTCAATCTGTAATAAATCCCACAAAACCTCGACAATTTAATTTTGATTAGTTTTCAATTACCTTGAACAACAAATTTATGGTCAAACAAACAGTTTAGAAAAAACTTGTATACAAAAAACCAAAATTAAGCAGTAACACAGTCGAGACGCAAGTTTTTTTACACAGATAAATCAAAAGCTCACAGATAAATTTTCGTAAAGTCAAAACTTCTTTCCAAATAAACAGGACTTGATTTTCATTCTTTGAATTTTTTGGAGAGGAGAATTAAAAAAGTTTTTTTTTGTATTAAGGTACTTTCTGTTGTTGGATTTTAAGGCAACCAAAAAATGAACAGCGAATCAAAAAACTGCTTTTCTTTTAATTTCATGGAAAAATGCAGCTGGCTCATACAATTTCATTGAAGGAAAGTACGTGCCATGCTTTTTTCATAAGTTTTTTTTTTCATCCATGGAATTGTATGATTGTATGAACAGCCTTTTTTGCGAAAATGAATTTCGTATGACCAGCTTTTTTTGTCAACAAGGGATGGTATTGGTCTGCTTTATGGCGTGTCTACTCTATGATCTGCCCATTTTTTGGTTTGTAATCAGGTCGCGTATGTGATGAGCTCACTCAGCGATGGCTATCTTTAAAGCGCTCAACATGCAAGACGAACATCAAAAAGCAGTGAGTCAACAATACAAAAACAATTTTACCTATTTTTATTCAATAGTTATGGTCTAACACCACTTTTTATTGGATCACGAGGTGGTAAAACTGAAGCAGTTTTTCTAACTGAAGACAAAATTTTGCTGAAAAATAGAATCGGGTATTTTGGGGTAACTGGAACGTTTTGGATAACCATAAGACCTTGATAAAATTTATTTTTGCGCTCTTGCAGACCACTGAAAAAACTAAGTTTGAAACATGATACTGAAAGTGTGAATGATTGCTTTTCGCACCTTCTAAAAGCTATCCAATTTACTTTTAAAAAGTGCATTCCTGAGCTCTCAATCAAAAATTACAAAGAAAAAAATGTACAGAAAATACTTCAACAAAATGAGTGATTGCCATCTTGAAAAAATCCAGGAACAACGAAAAAATATGAAAAACTTGTGTCGATTATCAGAAAAAAAATTTTTTGGGAGAACACTTGAAAGCAAGTAACATGAAAGTTCAGAAAGTTGATGAATGATTGTAAGTCACTGAAAAGAAAAAGATGTGATTATATTTGAAAAATTTTGATAGACTTGAGCAAAGATTTTGATAAAGTCTCTCACGATCTCATTATCAGTCAACTTTCTAAGAACAAGCCAGCTATAAGTCTTTACCTTATCAACCTTGTTATATCTTTTCTCATCGGATAATAACGAAAACTCAACCACAGGCAGCACACACACGGGAATACCACAAGGTACAACAAGGGGTTCCCCATGTTTCAATGTAATCTACGATGACTCTCAAGTAACACATCCTCTAGCAATATGCTCGATGCTAGCAGACGACAATACGCCGTGCGTTGGGGGCAGAAGCGGCGCTGACTCAGCTTCAGAGAATATTGGTGCTATAATCAATTGGTGCAAATCTCATAGTTTTATCCTCAATAGCGACAAAACCAAAAAAATCAAAGCCAGGTGACGCGATCTAACACTATACTTCCTGATCATGGCATTAAATTTACAAATTAACTCAAAACTTTGGGAATCAATTTTACAAAATAACTTTCTTTTGAGCCTCACTAACTAAAATTGGCGAGGAAAGCATCTTCGCAGCTATATCTTCTTATAAAGCTCAAAAGCGTCGGTTATACCAAAACTGAACTCAAGGATCTCTACATTCAAATGATAGTGATTATAATGACATATAGAAATTAATTAAGTCCGAGTTGATCAAAAATGCTTGTCATAAAAATTTCATGTATGGAAAATTGCTAATCATACATTTTTCATGCAATCCATAAGTACAGAAAATTGCATGAAAGGTCTATGATCCGTAATTTTTCATATATGGAAATTGTATGACTAGCATTCTTCCATAAACCAAAATTATTGCTTATATACATTTTAATTTCTCAAAATTTTTTGGTTGTGTTCATAACCGAACACAAATGACATAAACCTTGGTTACTCAAATGTAGTAACCAAAGGTTTGGCTGTCTCGCATTAAAAAAGCATTGGAAACAATCTGAAATGTTTTAATTCTGTGTCACCAAATAATATTACGAAAATAACGAACTTTTATGTATGGCAAAAAATTTCAAAGATGATTATTTCAAAAATTTGGGTTTTTAAATTACCAGACATTGATCAAGGTATACAAAAACATATCATAAAAAAGAAAGAATTTTAAGCATTTTTGAAAAAAATTATGAAGAGAAATAAATCAAAAAATCTATTATTAGGATATCCAGGACTGCGTTATACACACAAAACATTTAATTTTGCATGCATTTATTTTTCAAAAAATGTTTGTTTGAGTACGAAAATCAATTTGCGTTTGAGAAAAAGACAAAAAAATTATGGAAACTGAATTACTTATATGGAAATTGTATAATGAGCATTTTTTTGACAAAAAAATTTTGTATGTTTTTAGTACGATACACCGAATTTTATGCCAAAACAAGAGAAAAGTTTATCGGAAGTTTGACGACATCATTTTTGCAAAATGTACGAAATTTGTATGACTAGTATTTTCTCGTAGACTTAGTTTATGGAATTGTATGATTAGCATATTTGGTCTATGGAGGACAACCCCGGATGGCTTGGCTCGCCGCAGTATCTTCTGAATAAACAAGACAGTCTTAAAAGATGAGCGCTTTTGTCAAGACTTATAGACACTTATATTTTACTTGTTAACTTTGTGTAAAAAGGGGATGAAAAGCTTTTCGATTCAATCTCTATTGATCATGATTATGTACTTTCGTGCATCGACCCTTCAAGAACCCAGTAATCAGAATCTAAATTCAGAGAACGTCGTCCAGTGGGAAAGTATTTGATGAAAGAAAAGTATATGCCACATTTTCCAGATAGGTTTTTGAGGAGCTATAATTAAAAATTTTCTGTTGTTTATTAGTTGTATTTTACTCTGAAAAAATTAACACCTATTTTTTTTACTTTAAAGTTATAGTTCAGATCAGAAAAAAAAGGAAGAACAACATTGTTCAAAACACAGCATTCCGAGTGCAGGAAAAATCAACGATTATTAGCAGTACGTTAGTTAAAACGATTTATTATCGGACACTAAAACAACCTATTATGGTGAACCACAATGTACAGACGTGGGTTCTTTGCTGTTTTTGCTTGATGTAAATGATTTGCCAAATGTCTGTAGGCATAATAAAATTGCACTGTTTGCTGATGACTGCGCATTATATAAAACAATTAAAACAACAAATCAGCAGCTGGTGAACTCTGATACAAACACTGTTGAAAATTGGTTTTTGTTGAAAAAGCTTACCATAAATAAGGATAAATCAGCCACACAAAAATTTAAGAGAAAGAAACTTTCTAACAATAGATCCCATAAGTAGTTAGGTCAAGTAACTGAAGAAAAGATAAAAATCAATACACACATTGATAAAACTTTGAAAAGAGCGGCTAGATCTTTTTTAATGATCTGTCAACTCACATATTTTTTGACACGCCTACACTGCTCAAGATATACGAAACGAATATTCAACCAATACATCAAAACAGCGTACTGATCTATGGCACAGCAACGGATCAAGACGGACCTGAAACCATTAGAAAGCCAGCAAACTTGTGTGGAAGAATTGTTTTCATTAAAAAGTGGGAAAGTCTGAAACATTTTGTTGACAAACATAAACTCTGTTTGGTTCGAGAGTTTTATGTATAGGATTTTGAAAAACTCATGGTAGACAATCTTGTGGAAACAAGAGTTTCATGAATACATAAGTGAACAGAAGATAACAGGTATTTTAAGCAAAGGCAAAATAAAAAAAATTTTCCTAGAGGAAATAAATTTACTACAAGAGCAAAAAGGAAAAAAATCAGAAGGTTCATTTTTATTTAATAATTTTTTAGATAAAAATATTCTTCTCGAAGAGTAAACAACTATGAATGAAATTTTGGACTCGTTTTTCATAAAATAAACGACATCAATTTTTGTGACAACGAACATTTTTTAAGTATATTATGGTAATTTTCCATCTCTTTATTATAGTTATTTCGGTCATGTGAATTTGATTGTTAGACAACACCAAATAACAGATGTTTTTGTTTAGTTTTTTGATATTTGAAGAAATTCTGCGGTCCTTCAGTCCAAATGATCTAAGTTTTAGAAAAAAGACAAATATGTTTTGATCAAGGAGAAGCCGCCCGAATGGCTGATGCCTTTTTGGTATTCTATCAAGCCGAACTAATTTTTAAACGTACAATCTGGTTGTAATTTTGGCTGAAAAATAAAATTTTTTATTATAAACCTCGGATTATAAAAAGAAGGAAACGTGTCCGCGTTCAGTTTGTGTCTTCTGAAGTTTGTTTGAGTAAGTTTGTTTGAAATTGACCGCAAGCACAAATTGCCAAATTCTGATTGCGGTTTGTCCTAATCGGAATATCTGTTGAATTTAACTTGCTGTTGTATCTCTGCTTTTCATTGTATGTTTATTTAGTTGTATACAACCAATTAGAAAAGCGACAACTTCTCGAATTATTATTTTTTTGGTGCAAGTTTAACAGTTGGAATATTGTAAAGTAAGTATGAAAAATGAATCCAATTTTTTGCGAAAACGTCAAAAGCCAAGGTCCATAATAAGAAGATTTATGATGTATCCAAAAATCTTTAGTTGACAACCATGTTTTTCTTTTGTCATCCATCTAATGTTAAAGACCAAACTGTTAATTTTGAACCAATTTTTCGAAAAAGCAGCAAATCCATTGCGAATGGCTGAAGCGAACTCCCAGGCTGGGCGTTTCAAAATGAGACCCTCAATTTTACTTGTCTGCTATTTTGTGGCTCTGTTGTCTACTGCAACGACCGGATGCATGTTCGGAGAGGTAAGAACAGCGAGCTCGAAAATAGTTTTCTACAAAAAAAAGATATTTTGTTGATTCTTTCCTAACAAAGATAATAAAAAAGCTGCGTTTTAAAATTTATAAACACTAAAAACGAGCTGTATATGTACGGGCTGTTTGTCTGGCCAAAAAATGCTGTTTTGAAAAACTTATTGAGTCATCGACAGCGCGTTTCATACGTCTCCTGGAACCAAAAAACCATCAAAATGATTTTTTTCGATACTGAGAGAGTTTTTTCAAAATTTTAAGCAAACTTTCGAATCACTACTCAACTGAATGGGCTTTAATATGATCTATCAATAATTCCTAAAAAGGCGTTAAAAAGCTCCAAAACCTAACTGTACCCGAGTAAAACCAAATTTAAGCAAAAATAAGTTAATTTAAACGGCTAAAGTTAAGCTTTTTCAGGTCTGCTCCTCCACTTTAACCGCTCGAATTAAGACGAAAATTAAAAAAAACTCAAACTGTTTTTTATCTACACTGGGATTTTTTTTAAATTTCAAAAAAAACTGGGATTTGTTGGAAATTTCTAACGTTAATATATCATTTCTCTCAATCCGATGATTTTTTTTGGTACCAAATTATGCTTGAAAAACAGAACTAAAGGTAGAAAAGGATAGCCGGTTACTGTGCCCGTGGCACAGAACGTTTCGACCACAGTCTTAAAAAAAAACAAAAAAGTTTATTCAAATTAGTATCGTTTTTATTCTGCGTTGGCGATAAAAAGATCGAAACAAAAAAAGGCTTATTCGACAATCATAGTGCTATGAATCCATTGAAAAACAGTTTTTAAAGAAAAATAAACTCGTTTAAATTTTTTTGAAATTTTCCACATAAATTTTTTAAAAAATTTGGGTTTTTTTTTTAATTTAGAAGTTTGTGAGTGACAAATAGGCGCTAAAACTTTCAAATACTAACTTTAATTGAGTAAAATTTTTTTCCTGGCATAAATTGAATATGAATAAGCTATTGTGAGCCTGTTTGGTTGTTTTATTTGCTCGAATTTAGACTGATATTGAAAATTTTTTGCAAAAACTGAACATCTATTTAGAAGTTAGTTTTTTTTGGAATTTTATCACGATTGAAAGGACTTTATTATGAAATATTTTTGGTACCATTGCTATAATTGTTTCTAGTATCTATTTTTTTGCGTGGAAAAAAGCATTTGAAAAAAATTATAACACACCCGAATTTAAAGTTCCATCCCATTTTCAATGGTCGCAACAAAAAAAAGTAAAACACGCCCATTTACAAAGTTCCTCCGCATTTTTCAATTGGTCGGAAAAAACAAAAATTGAGAGCACGAGGGAAAGTAGCTAACTTCTTTGAAACTATAATTTACGATATGTTAACCTTCAAACTTCTGCAAAAAGGACTTCTTTTTTGGAAACTTTGATACCGATTCACAAACAAATGGCCAGAACGCCAAAAAAAAGTTCCCGAACACTTGATTGAAGTATCTGGATAAACCAATAAAACCAGCGGAGAAAAAAACTAACTTCTGATACATGTATGGTCCCTCCCTAATTTTACATATTATCGAATAGCAGCTTCAAATTGTCACAATGAATATATAAAAATGAATATTGGCGGTGATATTGAGATAGGGATGCGAACTGATGTCGCAAAAAACCTTAAAAAATTTTCTCAAAAACTGGATAATTCTAAAACAAACCGGCTGAAAGTTAAAATCGTACCATAGTCAACTAAAATAATTGCAAAAGTTTTGGCCAAAAGCAGACAAATCAAACCTTTTTGTGTTCAGACAAAGTAATTAAGTATCTAATAAATCGATTGTTTCAAATCGACAGTCACAAAATAGTCAATCATGGGTGAATGCAAGAGTTATGCAAGAAAGTGATACAAAAAAAATGAGTTAAATAAGCCTAAAAAATATAGCAATTGAGTCAAAATTGGGTCGGAAAAAATCATTGAATAAAAATTGTAATAAAACCAGAAAAAATTGTTCAAAATGATGACAACCCTAATAATTGAAGCTCCAAAGTTTTCGTAGAACCTTCAATTTTAAATTGCAACCAATTAAAATACTCTTTCACAACTATTAAAAAACGATTAACAGGTAAAAATTTTCTACCAAACATAAAAATCACATTAGTCTGGTTCAATCAGAAATCAACAAATTTTTCAGTATGCATCAAGACTATAGTACTAACAAAATCTAAGAAAAGTTTAACAAAGTTCAAAAGCTAAACCTCGATTAGTTACTCTGGCATAATATTCGTCTTTTGATATCCATGATTACTGTTTTGGCACCTCACTTGACGCTTTTAATCAATATTGTTCAGGCAAAAAATCTGGCTCGTTTTAAATTAACAAAAACATTCCATTGTATTAAAAGCAAGGATTGTTTTGAAACTCTAACTTATAAGGAGAGAATTCAAAAACACATTATTTTGCTTCGCCAAGGTGTGAAAGTTTAGTTAGAGCTGCGAAACGCTTACAGAAAAAAAAGAAAACAATGCGCGCTGGCGTGCTTCTAAAAAAAGTTTTTCAATTAAGAAAAAACGAAAAAGAAAACAGAAAAAAAAAACAGAAACAGGCTGTTCTTTCTTCGCTGAAAAATTGTTCTAAGATCCATTACGTACAATTCTGGATCTTCTAATAACATCCACTTTTTTGCAGAGAACAAGTTAGTTTGAACAAATTGTCAAATGGAGTTCCTCATAGTTCTGTCCTCGGTCTTTTTTCCTCGATCATTACGAGGCAAATCTGTGTATTTTAACATGCTCAATGACTTGTATCTGGAATCCAGAAACATACAGACACAAAACTGTTCGCCTATCCTGGGCACAGTTTGGCCTCGTAATGAAGAGTCAAAAGAATAATTTGTTGTATAGCTTGTTCCTTGCTTAGAAGTTGACAAGAAAACGCCTTAAGTTATCGCTGTTAATTGCAAAACTTTTTTTAACTTCGATTAGTTATTGATTGTAAAATAATTTTTGTTGCAAAATTATTGATTACAACATAGGCAGATAGTATTGATTACGTTTCGGTTTATAGTGAAAACTAATTGAACAAGAACAATAAGTTAAATATTTTTCTTTCGAGCATTGAAAATGGGGAGAAACATTGTGTTCGGGTGCGTTTTAGTTTTTTCTTTTTTTAAACCTTTTTTCTGTTTTCCACGCAACATCAGGTACCGCAAATAAACACCTGACAGAATCGAATAGTATATCAGCATTCTTCCGAAAAAAAATTTTCGAAAAAAATTTCCGAAAAAAATTCTTATTGTCGAGAAAAACTTGTTGGAGTTTTTAGATTTTTCGTCTATTTTCGAGCGAGTAAAGCGATCAAGTAACGTTTGTTATATATGAATGTCAGAAAATTAGGCTAGAGAAAAAATTGATATTACTAAAAGAGAAATTAATTTTGGAAGCTTCAATTTGCTCTTCTCTGGTAAAAAATCTGTAAACAATATTTAAAATTTTAAGCGCTACAAGTTTACACTATTAATAAATTACGCCGAAAATAACCAGTCGATCACAGACATAATTATATCAAAGTGAGCCCCTTACCTAGCTCAACAAACTTTAAGAAGAGTATATTCTTCAAAAAAAATTGCAAACCGTTTAAAAATTGTTTCTAGATAAAAAGTTGGTATTTTATATAGTAAAAACGACCTTTTTTGTCTATCTAATAAATTAACTTATACAATTTTTTGGAGAATATACTCTTGTTAAAGTTTGTTGAGCTACGTAAGGGGCTCACTTTGATACAATTATGTCTGTGATCGACTGGGTATTTTCGGCGTAATTTTTGATTAACTAAGAAAAACCAAAATGACCCATTTTTGGGGTAAAATTTTGGGCCCGTAATTGCAAAACAAATTACACCATACTAATTCTGCTAAAAATTTAAGCAAGTTTTGTCTTCACAAGTTTTCACCTAAACTCAAACCAATATGAGAAAAACGCGTTTTAAATTTCAAGTTTAACGCGTTTTGTCCGGTTAATTTAAATCAGCACAGCAACCGGCTATTCTCGTTTAACTAGATTTCTGAGCTCTCTGAAATCACTAAAAAGCCCTATTTAGACCAAGTGTTCTGCGCCAAAGGCACATTTTAGGTGTTTTGGCCAAAAGGCGTTTTTAGGAATTTTTTTGGAAAACTTAGACCAGAAAATTGCGTTTTTTGACACGCGTTTCCCCCTCAAATTTAGTAACTATTGGCGCTGAAGTCGCCATAAGAAAGTTTTAGGGTCTGTCAGCCAAAAATGAAGGTCTCAAAACAGTACAAAGGTGGAACCGTTTGTGTCGGCAGGGAGTCAAATCCCTGTGAATACGGGTCTCTAGTTTTTTTTCTAATTCGAAAATCTTCTTTCTTTTGTCATATTTTGTGCGAACTAATTTTGTGATAATTTCTCAACACTGCCTACGGAGTTTTTTTGTTTAAACTTAATTTGATCATAAACAACAGTTCGCAGGACCTAATAATCTCCTTATTGTTCTGATCACTGAAAATGGGAAGGAATTTTGTTTTCGCGTGTTTTTTGTTTTCCACGCCAAATCAGGTAACCAAATAACTATTGGGATTCAGGCCCTTCCAAACGTGATTCCAACTACATTGTAAAATATCAAAAAAGTTGTCCCAATAATAAGAAAATTTATACCGACTTCTTTTCTGTTTTTTTTATAGTTTTTCTTTTTTCGAAAACGAATAATATCAATTATGTCTACTCCGCAAATATTCTGTTCGTAAAACTCTCTCATTAGAATACGCGCAAAAAAAAACGTCATTCAATCGAAAAAAAAACGTTTTGTCGTTTTTTAAATGAATGTGGTCCATACACTCAGTGCTACTTGCTCAGTAACCGGCTATCCTTGTTTCAATTGTTTTCAAACTTTGACCGAGAGGCCAAATACTAATTTTACGGTTAAGGAGAGGTTGTTTTCTCTGGTATAACTTTTAACTGAATCTACTAGGACGACGATTGTGACTTTGAAGATCAACTGGAGCTGCAGGCCATGACTATCGGGAACCGGTTTATGCCTGGTGCCTCTAGGAATCTCAGAGGTCATGTGATGATGATGCCCGACAGTTTCGAAGGTAAACCACATTGTAACTGTTTGTTTTATAACTTTATGACCGAATAATATATTAAATAAAAAGTTCATTCGGTCGCTTTTTCAGAACTAAGTTTATCCTACACTATGTTTTCTATTCTATCTGATTTTTTTATTTGGATTAGCTGAAGCCAGCTTTTAAAATTTTTAACTACTCATATGGCAGGCATCGAGTTAATGAGGCGCGCAAAGTTATTTCGGATCTTTTTAACATTTACCCTGTTAACATTTATCTACTAAAGTAAAAAAAAAGGGGGGAGGTGATGGTCAAGTAGATTAAGTTAGTAGATTTTTCTACCAATCAGAATGCAGCAAAATTCGAATTATAAATAGAAATCTCTAGTGCTAATTTATTGCTTTTTTATGTTGCAATTCTTTAGTAGATACCATAGGGCGGATTCTTTAGTAGATCCGTTATTTCAAACTGAAGAAACCGTCAATCCGATAGTAGCAAATATGCAAATTTATCGACGTCGGGTTCCTGATATAAAAAGTCCGCCGAAAACTTGTGATTATTGACTTTTACTCAGATACGAGTAGTCATCTTTTCGCTTTCACTTCGAATTTTTGACGACCTGAGCAAATAATTTGAATAACCATAACGATATCTTTTTTAAGTTGAAACTCCTGGCATGTTTCAGATTATTGGGAAGACTTCGGGTTCGCCCAGCAGCTGCCGTGTTTTACCCAATCAATGGGACTCACCGGTGGTTTCCGAGGATTGCATCAAAGTGGAGCCAGATCAGTTCCCCGTGCTGGAAACGCAATGCCTGGAAGTGGGTGGATTCATGGAAGAAATATGATCCCACCATTTGGCCAGGAACGAAGACCCCAGCCTACCTTTAACCAATACTACTTTCACTATGAGATATTCGACTAATATTGACTGGTTGATGCATTAGAAGAACGAAATTTTAAGTAGTAAATAAAGATTTGGGCTCCTTTTAATCTGATTTTTCTCGCTGGATAGAATATTTTTTTCTGTACCTTTGCACCTTTGCTGCAATTACCTCATATACATAGTTTCTTTATTTTAATTCTTCTCGAAAATGATATCGAAAAAAAAATTAAAAAACGAAATACACATGGTGTTACACATGTGATAAGTAAAAAGAGCCCATAATTGCTATTTATCGTGAAATTATCATATCAATATATTACCTCAAATTCACCAAAATTAAATTAACTTTTTCTGTTGTTGAAGGCGATTCAATGTAAGAACTAGCTGAGACGTATTAACTTATCCCGCCATGATCCATGATCGTTGAATGAGGGTCTGGCAAGTTTATTCAGAACAGAAAATAATCAGGCTTTAAGAGGCTTTAAAACCATCTGACTTAAATGATACGCTTATCTAGAATTAAATTTACAAATTTAAAATTAAACTTCATTCAAAATTAAACTACGAAAACTGAACTATCTATCAAACACATTGAAATTACTGCATTCGGATCTCCTTCATAAATCTGGTCATTCAATCCTAAACATAATTGAATTTTTAGGGTGTTGTAATTTTTTTCTTCGTTTACTTAAGATTGTGCTTATTTTTCATATTACAAGGCCTTCCCTCAGTAGAACATCAAAAGAAATGCTTTCTTTCAAGTTCGCATTTTTGTATTAAAATGAAATTAGCTTCAAAATTGATGAAAATGGTAAAAATTCACATGAAATTATCATTTTACACTTTCGTAATGAGATCCATTCAAACGTATTCAGGTAAAAATTGGAAAACAATGGAGTGAAATTAGATCGAAATTGATTATTAAATGCGAAAATATGAAATATGAAATATGGATTATGAACAAAAACAACAACAAAAAAGAGGGATAAATTAAGCGGACTTACTGTTGAAATCTGTCTAATTTGATCGATCAAGACACTAAACAATCAATAGTAGGCAGGGTACTAGAATTAATAACCCGGGTTAGTATTAATATATCACAATTCAGACATTTGGATACGGTTCCGGTACTTTATTCCTTGTGGATTCCAGTCGATTTGAGGATATTTCCAGCTATTCCATTCTTATGTGTTGTGGACTTGTTTGGATAAATGACAGGCTTAATAGGTGTTAATTGGCCTCTCTCATATGATTATGACAACAAGATTGTGATTGACACTTACTGTTGCGCCACCTTCTTTTGATTGACATTTCCGGATTTGAACTCAACAGGTTACGCAAAAAAACGGAAAGAAATTAAGAGGAAAATGAAAACTCAAAGTCAATTGAACAGCATCGTGACTCTCAATAGACTGTAGAAACACAAAAATTTAATGAGTTGGCAATGCTGAAAGCAAACTTTTGACCCTTCAGCAAATAGTCGTTTGAAGATGCTCAGTTTTTTTAGGTTGACAATATTGATTTTCCGAGCTCTTCCAAAGCACTAAAAAGACCGTATTTGCCAAAATTTCTGCGCCGCAGGCGAAATTTTGAAAAAAAACCAGGTCAAAAAAGCGTTTTTAGGCGCCTTTTGGCAAAATTTGATTAAAAAATTGCGTTTCTTCGGGGCGCGCTTCTCCAACAAAATAACTGAATATTGGCGCGAAGGCGCCTTAGAAAAGTTTTAGGGTCAGTCAGCCAAAAATGAATATCTCAAAATCGTACAAAAGGGGGACCCTTTGGGTCGGCAGGGGGTAAAATCCCTGAGTCAAGGGGGAAGCGTTTTCCCCTATATCCAAAACAAAGTGGTTATACGAAGTCATTTTATGCCGAGTACTCAAGATCGTACGAGGCCTAGTCATATATCACATGAAAGGTTTTTCATTTCAGTCGTGCTTGGGACTTCATTAAGAGTTCGAGTGTATTTGAGTTTTTTTCGCTCTCGTGAACATTGATATGAATTTTTTATTTTACAGTATTTTAATGTCAAAAGATAATGTTATTTTTTTAAAATATACTTTTATGTATTTCACATATTTTCACATATACCATATTAGGCTTCCCGGATTGACCTCCATAGACCGAAAATGCTAATCATACAATTTCATACACTTAGTCTATGGAAAAATGCTAGCCATACAAATTTCATGCATTTTTGCAAAATGAGTTTAATCGAACTTTAAAGGTATTTTATAGTTGTTTTGGTATCGAAATTGGTGTCTCTTCATAAATAAAAGGAAAAAATTGTATGAAAAAAAATGCTATAATATATGGAAATATATGGAAATTGTATGATTAGAAATTAAAAAAAAAATTTTTTGTGAAAAAAAAAAGCTTTGAACAATCAGTTCAACTGCTGGCAAAGCATTTAAGCTTTTTTTGGGCTGCTACGACTGAAAACTTTGACTTTTTTTAATTTTGTTTTCTGAAAAAAAACACTAGTCATACAATTTCCATATATGGAGATTGTATGACTAGCATTTTTTTGATGGCGACGAAGTATTTTTGAAATTGCCCTCAAAAATTTTTTTATGTTTTTTTCAACCGCAAATTGATTTTCGTATTCAAACAAACATTTTTTGAAAAAAAAAAATTTGCATGCAAAATGTAATTTTTTGTGTGTATAACGTAGTCCTGGATATACTAATATTGAATTTTTTTGCATTTTCTCTTAATAACTTTTTTTCAAAAACGCTTAAAACTCCTTGTTCTTTTGTATGACATGTTTTTGAATGCCTTGATCAATGTTTGGTAATTTAAAAATTCAAATATTAGAAATAATCATCTTTGAAAATTATTGTCAAAATTTAAAAGTTCATTACTTTCGTTATATTGTTTGTCTGAGACAGAAGTAACACATATCAGGCTGTTTCCAATGCATTTTCAATGCGAGAAGGCCAAACCGTTGGTTACTACGTTTGATTAATCAAGGTTTATGTCATTTGTGTTCGGTTACGAACACAACCAAAAAATTTTGAGAAATTATAATGTAAAAAATCAATAATTTTGGTTTATGGAAAAATGCTAGTCATACAATATCCATATATGAAAAAATACGAATCATAGACCTTTCATGCAATTTTCTGTACTTATGGGTTGCATGAAAAATGTATGACTAGCAATTTTCCATACATGAAATTTTTTATGACAAGCATTTTTGATCAACTCGGACTTACATGATTTCTATATGTCATTATAGTCACTATCATTTGATTGTAGAGATCCTTGAGTTCAGGTTTGGTATAACCGAAGCTTTTGAGCTTTATAAGAAGATATAGCTGCGAAGATGCTTCCTTCACCAATTTTAGTTAGTGAGGCTCAAAAGAAAGTTAATTCGTAAAAATGATTCCCAAAGTTTTGAGATAATTCGTAATTTTAATGCCATGATCAGGAAGTATAGCGTTAGATCGCGTCACCTGGCTTTGTTTTTTTTTAGATTTGTCGCTATTGAGGATAAAATTATGAGATTTGCACCAATTGATTATAGCACCAGTATTCTCTGAGAGGAGTCAGCGCCGTTTCTGCCCCCAACGCACGGTGTATTGTCGTCTGCTAGCTTCGAGCATATTGCTAGAGGTTGTGTTACTTGAGAATCATCGTAGATTACATTGAAACATGGGGGACCCCTTGTTGTACCTTGTGGTACTCCCGTGCGTGTGCTGCCTGTGGTTGAATTTTCGTTATTATCCGATGAGATAAGATATAACAAGGTTGATAAGGTAAAGACTTATAGCTGGCTTGTTCTTAGAAAGTTGACTGATAATGAGATCGTGAAAGACTTTATCAAAATCTTTGCTCAAGTCTATCAAAGTTTTTCTAATATAATCTTATCTTTTTCTTTTCAGTGACTTACAATCATTCATCAACTTTCTGAACTTTCATGTTTCTTGCTTTCAAGTCTTCTCCCAAAGAAAGTTTTTTTCTGATAATCGACACAAGTTTTTCATATTTTTTCGTTGTTCCTGGATTTTTTCAAGATGGCAATCACTCATTTTGTTGAAGTATGCAATTTTCTGTACGTATGGAATTGCATGAAAAGTGTATGACTAGCATTTTTCCATATATGGAAATTGTATGACTAGTATTTTTGGTCATCCCGGGTTAGTTTCAGCCAACAAATATTTCTCACAATGATTTCTGTTTTTGAATAAAAAATGGCGGTCAGATATTCCAGCCAGACGCTTCTTCTTTTTTTAGTGTCTCAAAAGCAACGATAACAAACTTGCAATTGAATTCCCAGAAAATTCCTTTCTAGGATGATATCAGGGTTGGTTACCAAAACATGTACAAAAAACTGTACAAAAATTGTACCAGAACAGCAATGGTTACCCGGGTTGACGCCCTTACGAATAAAATATAACAGATTAAAGAAATTTTGTTCCTGGTTTGAATTGCATTAAGCGCCCTGATTAATAGAAAAAAAAATTTGTTTCAATAAAAAAACTCAATTTTTGTTTTTATAATGAAAAAAAAAAATGATCAGCATTTTTCTAATACAAAACTTCCTGAAAGCTATTAAAAATGTTTTTAGATAATTTTAAACAAATTTAACACGTTTTTTTTTGCTGATTGAGAGTAATTTGCTTGCAAATGTTTTTCGTTAACATTTTGTTAACGGCGGACTGTACTTTTTAGGAAATTCATTTTTGGTTGACCGACCCTAAAATTTTTCCAAAGCCGCCTTCTCCGCCAATATATACAAACTTTGAGGGGGAGCGCGCTAAAAATTGTTTCCAAAAAAGGCCTAAGAAATTTGCTGGCGGACTGTTCATTTGCTGGCGGACTGTACTTTTTAGGAAATCCATTTTTGGTTGACCGACCTTAAAATTTTTCCAAAGCCGCCTTCTCCGCCAATATATACAAACTTTGGAGGTGAGCGCGCTAAAAAAATTTTCTAAAAAGTGCCCAAAAAATTTGCCTGCGGCGCAGAAAATTTGGCCAAAACTGCGTCTTTTTAGTGCTTTAGGAGAGCTCGGAAAATCAATTTGGTGGACCTAAAATAAAAGGTCGTCAAAATTTTCGAAGATCCGCCCCTGATTAGCACAGAATGTTCCGACCATGTCTTAAAAAAACACAAAAA